TGTTGGTTCAGCTACCTCGCCTGAGTAGCTCCCTCCGGGATCCCGTCGATGTCGATCAAGCGTATCTTCAACGCAAGATCATCCTCCAAAACAACAACTCCAAGCCCCGTCGGTAATTTCCTCTCTCGCTTATATATGATTAATTTGTTAACACTACTTCTCTTAGTATCAAAATGGGAAATGTCTACTTTCAATATTCAAACATCATTCATGAGTTTGATTTTAGGTGCATATTTATGGGGTTGTTGTTTTTGGTTTGATTTAATTTAGTTCTGGAAACCCTCTGGATGAGTCAGAGCTTGCAAGGAAGATAGTTCATGGATGGGAACAAGGTATTTCTGTATTTTGATTAGTTTCAGGTATTTAACTTGGAATATCAGTCTTGTAAAAGTTTGATGAACTTAATAAATAATTATTGAGAATTTGTGGGGGCAGCATCAGCAGAAGTGCGGCAAGTGTATAAGCAGTTTGTTGGGGCAGTGGTCGAGCTCATTGATGCTGAGATGCCCTCTGAAGAGTTCCATGAGGTGGCATTGACTGCTTATCGTCTTTTTGGTGTCTCACTGGAAGATGATAGTGATAAAAAGATATCTGAGAAGAGGTAAGGCCTTGATTTCTTGCCACTTTATGCTAAACTTGTTTTGGAAAAGATTGAATTTGCTTAGGAAGTGCATCTTCCCCAAAAATCTCTCATCAAAGCTTCATCTCTAATGCAAATTTATATTGTTGAAAAGCTTGTGTACTCTAAGAGAAAAATTCTAAGCTAAAAACTTGGCATGTATTTAAATCGTTGGTGGTCCAAAAAGCAAAATGAAACCATTTTGAGTACACAATAGAAAATACTTAGATTTTATTTATTTTGCTTTGCCTTCATTTGAAAAGGAAAAATTTTGTACAAAGTTGAATCCAATTTTTCTAAGCATAAAAGTAGCATTATTAGATAGAACTTTATCTTTCTAGGAGGATGAGGGGAATCAACAGCTGATCCTGATGTCTGAGTCACATTTATCATCAGATTATGCTTGATACCTCAAAATTGTAATTTATATATGATATGGTGCAGGCAAGAATTGCAAAAAGTGATTGGTCATGCCATTTCTGATGCAAACATGAGGAAAGTAGCTTCTCTATCTCAGCAGCTATTGGGCTTTCAACCTGATGGTCATGTCTTAGAAAAGCATGTAAATGGGATTGGTGATGAGGTGGAATTTGGAGCTGACCTTGATTTCCAAGCACCAGCTCGGTTTTTGCTGGATGTTTCCTTGGATGGTGGGGAATTATTGGATGAGGAAAGTGGAGGGCCTTCTTCTTCCTTGAGTGAAGAATGGTATGAACAGAATGACTCCACTAATTTTCATTCTGGTTCTGATGGGGGGAAATTCAATTTGAGTTGGTTAAGAGATTCTTGTGATCGGATAGTTAGGGCTAGTACTTCACAGCTCTCTCGAGATGAACTGGCAATGGCCATATGCAGGGTACTTGATTCAGACAAACCTGGAGAGGAGGTATACTCATGATAATTATTCTTCCAAAATTTCATTTGGGCTGTGTTTTCATCTTCTATCATAGCTAATAGATTTTTTGCGCAGATAGCTGGCGACTTGTTGGACCTTGTAGGTGATAGTGCTTTTGAAACCGTGCAAGACCTTATAACGGTAAGGATATGCCTATCTTCATCTTGTTCTTGTTGTTCTTGAAAATCAATGGAAGACTTATTGTGTGATTTTCATTATCACAGTAGTTTCTTAAATTTTGAAAGGTGGTTTTGTTGAAGTCACCTGTCATTTTTTTGTGATTATCATTTCCATTTTTTCAGCACCGAAAGGAACTTGTTGATGCTATCCATCGTGGATTGACAGTACTGAAATCTGAGAAAGTAAATCCAAACTCTCAATCACGTATGCCCAGTTATGGAACTCAGGTACAGCTGGATTTTTATCAGAAATGTTTAATTCAATAAGAAGGCATTTTTGGTAAGAAGTTGCTCTCTCTCATGTTCAATATCCATCATGGATTGTGGTGTGTTAGGTTATTGTTCAAACAGAGTCCGGGAAGAAAATTGATAAACTTCGGCGCAAGGAGGAAAAGCGAAATAAACGTGGAACTGAGTATGGGGTTGAGAGTGAGATGTTAACTACAAGCTTTTCTTCCTTACTTCAAGCAAGTGACAGGAGAAGTCCGTTTGATGATTTGATTGGCTCTGGACAAGGGCCTCACTCATTACCAGTAACTGCTCTTCCTCAAGGAACTGTTAGGAAGCATTATAAGGGGTATGAGGAGGTTATTATTCCCCCAACCCCAACTGCTCCAATGAAACCCGGGGAAAAGCTGGTATTTTCTATGTGTTATGATGCCTTTTTTTTTTTCTTTTCTCAGCAAGATAGATTAACAATGTTTTATTTGTTGATTGACTTCTCATTATAGTTCTCAAAACTGGTAACTGTTGAGTTTGTTTTAGGATGTCAGAGATGTTTTCATTATGATTGCTGTAGAAGTAGAAAGGAAATGATGCCATAAATGCCTGAGAAGTATTCTTGTATAATGAGCAAGGAGTCATGGATAATTGAAATTTTTTTTATAGTACTGTTCTGTCTAGAAGCAATCAGTCGCATTGATTTTTTTTTTTAACAAGGTTACAATTTTTGGGAGAGGGGGGAATCGAACCCCAGCCCTCGGGCTGGGGGATGCACCTTACAAGCCGGCTTATGGCCGTTGGGCCGTGAGGCCCAGGTGCAACCAGTCGCATTGATTGTTAAAGCTTTAGAAGAGACGCCCATGCAAGTTGTGCTATTTCCAATAGCAGGGGATGTGAAATTAGCTAGGATAACATTGAATTTAAGATCTTGAATGCTGAATCTGTCCCCCTTATTTGGTGCCCATAAAAAAAATAAAATGTTGAATCTGTCAGTTTCATTTGCAACCATATATATTTTCTGGTATATGAGAAAGTATCTGTGTTGTCTTTGTGAATGATTATCTTTTTGGTTATATATATAGATTCATTTAGGGTTGTTAATCATTGACCTCAAGTGTTGGATGTGTCTATTATTTTCGATGAATATTGTGATTTGGAATCTATCAGCTTTATTGGATGGTATTGAGTATTGACTTAAATACAATAGAAGAGGCGTTCTCAATGTGTTTATAGGATTCTTAGATTTGCATAAGAATCTAGATGGACAAAAATGAACTTTCTATGCAACATAGAGCAATGACAGGTTTCTACTGTAACATAAATGTGAACTTTCTTTCCCATATATCACAATGAAAGGCTTATGCTGTATGTTGTTGGCTGACACAAAAAGGAACTTTCTATGCCATATATTGCAATGTTTGACATAACTTTTCTAGGGGTAGCTTATAAGCAAATATTTGTCTTTCCAACTTCTCTATCTTATTTCTAAGATTGGGGCATACTCTCATGCTTGTCAAAGCACTCAATGAGTATGGTAAATGCACAACTTTGGTTCAGGCAATGAAGTGAACGGGTTTAAACTGAAATTAGACAACTTCTGCAGAATCTTTGATTTGATCATCTGTTTTCAATTTCAGAAATTTGATTCTTTATAGCACTGTGAAAAATAAATGAACATTGTTCTTAAAAAATGCAAACAATTGTCTATCATCTACTTAAATTTTTGTATGGTTACCATTGTCATTGGTATATAAATAAGAGTATGTCAGTGTTCAATTGATACTTAAAGGTTATTCTCTTATTGCATTTTTTCCTCTCTTTTGTGTTTAGATTGACATAAAGGAACTTGATGATTTTGCCCAAGCTGCTTTCACTGGCTATAAATCTCTGAATCGGATTCAAAGTCGTATTTTTCAAACAGTTTATTACACTAATGAAAATATACTAGTGAGTAATCTATTCTTCATTTACCTGAGTATGAAAAGGATAATGTTTTCATTTTCATTACATCTGTAGTAATTTTCATGTGCTTCCAGGTTTGTGCTCCAACAGGAGCAGGAAAGACAAACATAGCCATGATTTCTATTTTACATGAGGTACACTTTCTTTTACTTGGTTTTTGGGTTCTGTATTTTGTAATCTTGTATCAAATAGATAAAAATCTTGTTTCTGGATGATAATTGAGACCATTGGGCATATTGCTTTTGCCTCAATGTAGTGGTTGAAAAGGCAATATGTGCTTGTACCAGCTGGGAGAGAGGCTATGATTGCCACAGAAGCGGCCCATAACTAATTCGGGGCAGAGATATTTGATGAATATCTTATAAATGTCATAACATATGTCTATGTAGTATTGTCCTTTTGCCTTTTATTTCTTAAATCTCATGACTGAACCAGAAACAATAGAATAATGGATGTTTACAATGGATTGTGCATGTCATTAGTGATATTAAAGGCACAAGACATCAAGGCCATTGTGTTTTTGCCAAGGCAAGGTGCCATTACTGAGGCACTCACCTAATCCTGGAGGTGTGCCTAAGGTGCTAACTTTAGGAGCTTAAAAGGCTTGCCTTATGCAATTGCCTTTGAAATTCCAGTTTTTTGTTTTCCTTTTACTATTTTCTGCAAGTTCTCAGTTTTCATTATAAGAAGATTCAGCCAGCATCATCTCCTTAACTGACTCTCACAAAAGAAAACTCCTTATTTGTTAGAGACATGTTAAATTAGCAAGAATCAACCCCTTAATCACTGTGCAGTCAATGGTCATAACAGCGAAGAAGAAGTTTCCATTGTAAAAAGATTGAGCCAGCATCATCTCCTTAATTCACTCTCTATGCTGTAAAATTATTCCCTAAATTCTCTCCTTTATTTCCCCCTTTTTTTTTCTTTTTTTTTTAAGCATGAGAATTTTTGGGGAAGGGGGTATTTTTCAAGGGCTAGGTGGGAGTTACTCCCAACCTAGAGGCCCAAGCTCTTTGGTATTGGTGGGGTGAACCAATTGGCTGTATTGATCCATGTACAGAACTGATGGATAACGAGTCAACAATCTTTCTTCAGATATTCTTCCCCTTTTCATTGTTAATTTGTTGTGCTTTATTTAATTTCCAATGAAAGAAACAAAAGTTGTCATGTTTTATTAATTAGTCATTATTTGATATTTTAGATTGTGCATTATTTGTCCAGGGTGTGCCTTCCACCTTGCTCCTTCTTTATGTTCTTCCACCTTCATCCTTTGATAACATTGCATCTCATACTGTACTATATAACGTGCCAAGAAATCCATGCATGGAAAATATTTTTTTGCAGATTGGACAGCATTTCAAGGATGGCTACTTGCACAAAGATGAATTTAAGATTGTTTATGTTGCTCCAATGAAGGTATAACCCACTGAATGTTATTTTGTCCCCTCTTTGGGTTTAGGGTTGATGACTAATTGCTTATTCTTGTTTCTATAGGCATTAGCAGCTGAGGTTACATCAGCATTTAGTCGTCGATTAGCTCCTTTAAATATGACTGTGAGAGAACTTACAGGAGACATGCAACTTTCAAAGAATGAACTTGAAGAGACTCAGGTTGATCATTGTTAGTTGATATGCTCACTTTCAGTGCCTACATGCTGTAGAACTAATGGCTTAACCTTTTTGTCTTGCATCAGATGATAGTTACAACACCTGAAAAGTGGGATGTTATAACTCGCAAAAGTAGTGATATGTCGCTCTCAATGCTGGTTAAGCTCTTAATTATAGATGAAGTGCATCTTCTGAATGATGACAGAGGCCCTGTAATTGAGGCATTGGTAGCTAGGACACTCCGTCAGGTAATGTCCAAAGGAGTCATCTTCGTTTCTGTTGTTACTTGGGTAATACTGACTCTAAACATTAGCACGATTGTCCCAAGTGGGGTTGGCCCTTTTTTTGTTGAAAGGAAATGAGCTTAACCAAGCGGAGTTAGTGACAAGCATTTCTTGAGTTTGAAACTAAAGAGTTTTTGATAAATTAACATCGAGTGTTGTTCCTCTTCTGTACCTTGTTTACAAAAGTCATTGTATATATATATATGTGTGTGTGGAATTAGCGTTTATCACTCCCAACCTCTAAAAAATTAGGAGGAAAAAAACACTAAAACTGTGCTGTTTTAATAAAAAACTATGGGAAAAGACAAAAACAATATTTTTCCTACTTTAAAAATAGGTTATTTTAGTCTTTTTCAATGGGAGTTTATTGAAATGACGTAGTTTTAGGGTGGTTTTCCAATTTTTTAAAGGTCCAGCTAATATATATGTGAAAACTCAATCTATATATAGAAAGATGAAGAAGGTTGTGTTTTATCATGTTGGTGAGTTTTTCCTTAATTAATTTACCTATTCAATTTGGTATGCCTAAATAAACAGAACTTATTTAGAAGTATTTGAGTCCAATGTCAGTCTCTAGATTTGCTTTAATAAGGAACTATTTGTCCTGTGGTTGCTTGTATGGTATCTTTTTTCCTTTTTTCTTTATCTGTAAATTTAATTAATATATTAGAACTGGAAATTTTTTTTTTTTTTAAGTGGCTTATGTTTGTGTTTCTCTTTCTGTGCATTGAAGTATAGATTAATGCATTGGGATTTTGTTTCACCAAAAAGAAAAATGTTGGCACTACTATCTGGTTCAATTTTGAGCTTTTCAGTAGTGGCATCTTTTTTTTGTGACTCTAAGTTTGATTGAATTGTTACTCTTTTTTCTTGGATTTGCTTTTGCATTTTGGTTGCAGGTGGAGTCAACGCAGACAATGATTCGAATTGTGGGCCTTTCAGCCACTCTACCTAATTACTTAGAGGTTTTTTCCTGACTTATGCTTGATTAAGTCTTCATATTAGCTAGCCTCTTAGTTCCTAAATTATGATGCCATTTTGGACCCTGGGTCCCTTCCTTCCTGGTACGCTTTATGTCTTTGATGTGACTGTTTAGGTTGCACAGTTCCTGAGAGTGAATCCAGAGACAGGCCTCTTCTTCTTTGACTCCAGTTATCGTCCTGTGCCTCTTGCTCAGCAGTACATAGGAATTAGTGAGCAGAACTTTGCATCTCGCAATGAATTGTTAAATGAGATATGTTATAAGAAGGTAGTTTTTGTTTGTTTCTGAGGTGTTCCACTCTACGAGTCTCAATTGGTAGTTTAGTAAATTATCTTACTTCTCTCTCAGGTTGTTGATTCATTAAGGCAAGGTCATCAGGTAATGGTATTTGTTCATTCACGTAAGGATACAGCAAAAACGGCAGAGAAACTGGTATCCCCTTTCTTCCTATCTTGTCTGAGTTTCTAGTCGATTTGTTAGGTGGGCATGATAATGTGCAGTAAGTGTAGGACAGTCTGTCAAGGCATTCAAATTAGTATTTTGGTTGAAAAGAAGGGGTAATCCCTAGAGTCTTTCAAGATGGCTTATCCTAACTTGGGCTGCATGACTGGAATTAGCAGATTATTGGGCTTGAGCCTTGTAGGTTGTATCATTCTTTATTTTGGGAATATTTAGGTTCTTATAGACATGTACTCTATTTATGTGAGAAAAATATTTTATGTCCTTATAGATAATAGATGGTTTGGCTTGCATATAGAGGCTTTGCATGTGAGAGGCATGAGCTTATTTATTTAGCTTTCTGCTGGGAAGTTGTTATGATGTAAGGCCTATGATTTCTGCCCTTCTGGGCATGTGAACTTCAATGCGCAATCAGATGTTGTAGGTAATCTTAAAATTTAGTGTGTCAAATGTGCAACATGAGATACCTGCAATCAAACTATGTAAATAAAAACCCCTTTTTTTTTTTTTTCAGTAATTTGCTTCTTTAAACTCTATAAATGCAAGTTTGGCTTTGACTGTGTGGTATTCTGCATGTTGAGCAGGTTGAACTTGCCCGGAAGTACGATGACCTGGAGATTTTCAGCAACGAAACCCATCCACAGTTTTCCTTAATCAAGGCAAGAAATGGAATTGAATTTTCCCTCAGATCATTTCCCATTTCGAATGTTTTTGATAGATTTACATTTTATGCATTTCAGAAGGAAGTTGTTAAGTCCAGAAACAAAGATCTTGTGGAACTTTTTGAATTTGGGTTTGGTGTTCACCATGCTGGGATGTTACGTGCCGATCGAGGTCTTACTGAACGGCTCTTCTCTGATGGAATCTTGAAGGTAAAAGTTTAATCTCTAGATTGGTACTTCCAGTTTTGAATTTTGACTTGGATATTTCTTCAAAATTATGTTATTTGCTGCTCCAGGTTCTTGTTTGCACAGCAACTTTGGCATGGGGGGTTAATCTGCCTGCTCATACAGTTGTCATAAAGGTTTGTCAAGAAATACTTATTGAAACCTGTTACTTATTTTTGTTCCTTGTTTCATCACTAGTTTCACTTGTGATAATGACCTTTTTAAGAGTTGCTAGTGTAGATAAGTGTATATAAAGTGGGAATCTTTGATATTTTTTACTTAACAGAAAAACTAAAATAGTTCACCTTGTTTCACCTTTTCCAGAAAATTTTGCCCCTTAGATGGGCAATAGTTCTTTGTTTGTTTTAACATCCACCTGGTCTAGATGGGAGAATTGATTATTAAGCTAGAGTGATTCCTGCCATACCTCTGCTTAAATCTGAAAACATTCTGCAGTTGTAAGATTTTGTTCCAGTCTGCTTGCTTATGGTTTTTGACTTTGATAACCAGTCTTTTGGAGCTTGTTCAGGAGGATCATCTCATCTAAGAGATGGATGTTGTAATGCAAAGCATGATGACCATGGTTGATAAATAAATGTTATGATGGCAACATTACAATTGAGACATTAATTTTAAGAATTGGTTAAATGCATCTGGTATATGTCATATGTGCCCCATTTCTTTCAAGAAGAATTAATTCATTTGTAGTATCCTTCAAAAGTCGAATTTATTAATGCAATAGTAAAACTTTTTGTACAAGGGTATTGGAGGAATGAAGGTTCTGTCTCTTCAGTTTATGGAATGATATTCATTTTGGGATAACTGAGAAAGAAAAGTAGAAGATGAAATTGGGAGAACATATGCTAACTTTTGGGGCAAGCTATACTTTGGTGGCCAAATTTTATCTTTTGATTCTCTTCTTCCAGGGTACCCAGTTGTATGATCCAAAGGCTGGTGGGTGGCGTGATCTGGGCATGCTTGATGTTATGCAGGTACTACTGAGATTACTCTAATTAAATGTATTTAAAATGTGTTGCATTGTTTTTACCTTATTGCATGACCAAGTGCCCTTTCCTGATGCCTCTTCTAGATCTTTGGAAGGGCAGGTAGACCTCAGTTTGATAAAAGTGGTGAAGGCATCATAATTACGTCTCATGACAAACTAGCCTACTACCTGAGATTGTTAACAAGTCAACTCCCTATAGAAAGTCAGGTACTTGCTTATGCATAAGTTTTTTGAAGCATTTTTTTGTTTTGTTATGTGGTTATTAAAAAACTATAACTGTATGAGAGGAGGTGGCGGCCCTGCTGCCTGTATCATATATGAACATAATTTGGATGTATTCATTCACAAGTGAAATTTGTTGTACTTGCATGCTCAGAATTTCTCAACCCTTTATCATTAATAGATCTACTACCATATTGATTCCATTTGTCATGTTATTCTCCAAAATAATTCTTTTCTGAAGGTCTGGCTATTTAGTGTTTGGCTTCTAGTCAACATATATTCACTCCATGGGATGACTGCTTGTTTGGATCTGCAGTATTGTAAACTTTGATAAACAATAATGATGCCAGAGGGCAAGTTAACACTTAATACATGGTTACATATTTAGAATACATGAAAACATGTTACTTGAATGTGATGGTGTAAGGTGGCAAATCCCTGGATAATTAAGGGGCTAAAACTTATATTCAAGATTAAAAAATGAGGGTTATCTGGCTTACTCTAATCCAGTCATCTTTGTGATGTTTGGGCTAGGTTGCTGACCCAGTTTTGTTGCAACCTCTCTATATGTCTTTGGTGGTGTGCTAAGTCTGAAAAGAAAAGTTGCTTGCTGCCTTTTTTTTTTTTTTTGGGAAAATTGAGGATATATGTATCTAATATTTGGTTTCCTGCTTGTTTTTCTTTATTTGCATTTTCTGATTGCAGTTTATTAGCTCGATGAAAGACAATTTAAATGCAGAAGTGGTCTTGGGTACTGTGACTAATGTCAAGGAGGCTTGTGCATGGCTTGGGTATACCTATCTTTTTATCAGAATGAGGTTAAATCCTCTTGCATATGGCATTGGATGGGATGAGGTATTTTATGCTCTTCTTGATTTCACATGAGTTCTTAATGCTAGCTGGTGGCCAATGTAATAGATAAGACTTTTTATTAGTTAAGAACTGGCTTTCCCTGTTCTTTTGAATTTGATTTTCTGTTTCTATTTTGCTGTTGATAATTTGATTGGCTGTTTCCATAAATATTTCATAGTCAATTAATGGTTGATCTATAAATGAAGATCATGATTGCATATAAATTATGATTTTGCATAAATCATTGTTCTAGCAAAATATGTGAGGAATGAGATGGATGGTAAGCTCAGAATGTTCAAAACTTTTGTGTAAACTTATTGAGGGCTGCTAGGACTGTAGGAGTAGGTAGAATGCTTAATTTTTTGTTTTGAGCAACTTAGCTGATGGAATGAGAGTTTTACATCATTTTAGTCTTAGAAATTGCATTTAGTGATAGTGATCTGCCTGGAAAGATTTTTCTAGGGATTTGAGATTTGTGAAGCTTAAGATGAGTTCCCCTAATTATGTTTTGAGATTTGTGAAGCTTAAGATGAGTTCCTCTAATTATGTTGGGATCCCATTATGACGAACTGAGTTTCCCTTCATCTTCAAAACTAGCATTATCCGGATCTGAGTTTTCCTGATCTGAGTTTTCCCTTGATGTCTTATATATCTCTTAGCTAGACTATTATTAACATGTGTTAGCACTTGCCAGTTCTGCTTTTTACAAGTTTCCTCCAAGTTGCATGCATTGATGAAATCTTATCCACTTCTGTTTTATTAGATTATTGCAGATCCTTCTTTGAGTTTAAAACAAAGAGCTCTGGTGACAGATGCTGCACGTGCGCTTGACAAAGCTAAAATGATGCGCTTTGATGAGAAAAGTGGCAATTTTTATTGTACAGAACTTGGTCGCATTGCAAGTCACTTTTATATCCAATATTCTAGTGTCGAAACTTACAATGAAATGTTGAGACGCCACATGAATGACAGTGAGGTGATATGGATATTTCTAGTTGTTACATCTTTCCATTGGTTTATTTTACATGTTCTTGGGGTAACTCTTTCGTTATGGCATCATTGTTGGGGTATTTTATTTTTCTTATGATAGATGGCATGTTGACTGGATCTTTGGATTACATGGATTTCCTATTTCAATCTCTTTAGTGATTCATCATTATCTTCCTATTTGATCTAAACTATTAGCTGGGGCCATTGCCACATGATAGTACTGTGATGAAGAGGCTTGATTTACATTTTAACTTGTACATTTATTTTCACTCTACCAGGTGATTGAAATGGTTGCTCACTCCTCTGAATTTGAAAATATTGTGGTTCGAGAAGAGGAGCAGAATGAACTAGAGATGTTAGCACACACATCTTGCCCATTAGAGGTTAGAGGTGGTCCTTCAAACAAACACGGAAAAATTTCAATTCTCATTCAGGTATTTATTAGTAAGCAGTTGATGCCATTTACCAGTTGTGAAGTTATATTTTGAGACTAATACAGGCAGTTGTGAATTTTACAGTTGTACATATCTCGTGGCTGCATAGATGCTTTTTCATTGGTATCTGATGCTGCATATATAAGTGCTAGTTTGGCTCGTATTATGCGTGCTTTGTTTGAAATTTGTTTGCGTAGAGGTTGGTGTGAGATGTCTCTGTTTTTGCTGCAATATTGCAAAGCCGTCGATCGCCAAATCTGGCCCCATCAACATCCTCTCAGACAATTTGACAAGGATATCTCACCAGAAGTCTGTCAAGCACATTCTCTTTTATGTAATTGCTGAAACTGTGCTCATATTAAATATATTTTGCTAATTCATTTCAGATACTGAGGAAGCTTGAAGAACGAGGAGCTGACTTAGATCGCCTGCAGGAGATGGAGGAAAAAGATATTGGAGCTTTGATTCGTTATGGACCCGGGGGAAGGGTATATCTCATATCAATGCATGGACATTTAAATTTTCCTAGTAATTGTCTTCAGATGATTGTTAGGACTAAACACTAACAATTTTCTCTCTTTTGTTGATGAAAGTTGGTTAAGCAATATGTAGGATATTTCCCATGGATCCAGTTATCAGCAACTGTAAGTCCTATAACCAGGACCGTTCTAAAGGTGACAATATGCTGAGAAATTCCTTCTTCTTTTTTTTTTAATATTTACTATTATTATTATTATTTCTGTGAAAAAAAAAAATGAAAAGAAAAGAAAAAGAAAAGAAAAGATGTCTAGAATTAAAGATTTCTCTTTTAGACTAGGGTTAATTAGGAAAGTAACTCTCTTTGCAGGTGGATTTGCTTATAACTCCAGACTTTATATGGAAAGATCGTTTTCATGGTTCTGCACAACGTTGGTGGATACTGGTTGAGGTGCTGGTTTCTAAACCTTATCTTGATTGTTAACTTCCTATTTTCTGGTGCTGGTATTTTTTAGTTAACAATTAAAAGTTTCTTGTTGTCTGGTTAACACTCTTATTTTTCTTTGATTTATGGCTTTGTGCTTCTCTTTAATGCTCAATCCAATATTGCAGCTGTTTAATTTTTATTATTTTAACTTGTGCTGTGGCATTGAGTGCAGAGTAGAACATCTTACTTAATGTAACTCTTTACAGGATTCTGAGAATGACCATATCTACCACTCGGAGCTGTTCACTTTGACAAAGCGGATGGCTAGAGGGGAACCTCAAAAGCTTTCCTTTACAGTACCAATTTTTGAACCACACCCACCACAGTACTACATTCATGCTATATCTGATTCTTGGTTGCATTCAGAGTCTTTCTACACTATATCGTTCCAAAATCTAACACTCCCTGAGGTATCTGTTCTTCATAGTGTACCTTATTTACTGATAGTTGAAACGATTTGATTGAACCTTATTCAATTGTGATCTCTTAGCAATGGTCTATCTAATATAAATATGGTGCTACATTCAGGCTCGTACCACACACACAGAGCTTCTAGATTTGAAACCTCTGCCTGTGACTTCCCTTGGAAACAGCACTCATGAATCCTTGTACAAATTTTCACATTTTAACCCAATACAAACACAGGTTTGGTTTGGTCAAGTTACCACAGATTGGTTGTTGATGCTTCTGGATTTTAGCTAATCATGTTTTTAGAATTTGTAATTTATTTCTTTCACTTGAAAATGCTGCAGATCTTTCATGTCCTGTATCACACGGATAATAATGTTCTCTTGGGAGCACCAACTGGAAGTGGGAAAACCATAGCCGCTGAGCTTGCTATGCTGCACCTTTTCAATACTCAGCCTGATATGAAGGTAAAAGAAGATTGGATATAGAGGTCAATGATTAAGTAAAGAGGTTCTCTTTTTCTTGTTTCTACTACTTGCAGTCACAAGAATTCTTAGATGAGGCCATCCAAAACAGTATGATTATTTGCTGATCATAAGCTTATCATGGAGCTAAAATACTCAGAAGTATTTATCAGATTGTTATAACCACCATAATCAATTTGGCCTTATTACCAACATATATGCATATGCCTTATTCTTTGACATGCTTCAGTGGTTAAACTAGGTTTATCCATTTTCAACTAATTACGTATTTTGCTGTTAAATATAGTTAGTTTCTTGAATTTGATCTGCTATCAAACCTTGTGGTCAGCTTGTGTCCATTTTTTTCGATGCTTTATGAACTAATTGCATTTACTAAATGTAGGTTATTTACATAGCACCTTTGAAGGCTATTGTACGGGAAAGAGTGAATGATTGGAAGAAGCGTCTTGTCTCTTTGCTTGGGAAGGAGATGGTGATGATAGTCTTTTTTTCTTTAAACGATATGATTCTTTAATAGAAGAACTAATGTTATGCACATGTAGCATGCCAAATTAACTTGATGTTTTTTTTAGGTTGAAATGACTGGAGATTATACTCCTGATTTGATGGCCCTCTTGTCAGCTGACATCATTATATCTACTCCAGAGAAGTGGGATGGTATTAGTCGTAATTGGCATAGTCGAAGCTATGTCACAAAGGTATTCAGTTTCTTGATTAACATTTATGTTTATTTTTTAAAATAAACTCACTTGTAATCTTCAGAACCTTTAATTGTGTGTGTGTGTGGGTTTTTTTATTTTTTATTTTTTATTTTCTGCTTGTGACTAAATCTGATATTTGATCAACAGGTTGGCCTTATGATATTGGATGAGATTCACTTACTGGGAGCTGATCGAGGGCCCATCCTTGAGGTGCTTTTTTATGATTGCTGGAACACTCTTTTTGGTTTTTATGATAAATTCATTATTTGTGGAATTTTATTCTTTCTGTGGCATTGGATAAGATGAATCGGTTTGGTTTGATCTTGGGTTTTCTGAACTTATTTGTTTCCATTGATCTGAACCTTGCTGGACTAAAAGACACTTAGTCCTTGTAGCTCTTGAATCTATCAGCTGTTCAAAAAAAAAAAAAAAACTCAGCTCTTGAATCTGTCTGGCTCAATTAACATGTCCAGTGGATTATTATTGTTTAAATCCCTTTTCTATGGCTCTGTAATTATTTTCAAGTTTACTGTGAATCATTATCTCAGTTACAGGAGTTTATGTTTCTAGGTTATTGTTTCGAGGATGAGATACATTTCATCCCGAACAGAGCGGGCAGTACGGTTTGTTGGCCTTTCTACTGCTTTGGCAAATGCAGGGTATGCTTATTTTTATCAATACTCGAGTTTTATGCGGCATTCAATACTCGAGTTCATTACCATCTCCTTTGAAGCTCCCAACTTGAAATGTACCTTGTTTGTCTTTCAAATCAATCCAATCCTCATCATCCAATGAAATTATCATTACCTCTAAACAATTTTGATGAGAATTCTTTATCCACAATTTCTAACTGTTGACATCACAGCTTTTCAACTCCATGCAAAAACTGATGTATTGTGTTTCTTTGTTCTTTTTTGCATTTAGTGATTTGGCTGATTGGTTGGGTGTTGGAGAAACTGGACTCTTCAATTTTAAGCCAAGTGTGAGGCCTGTTCCGCTTGAAGTTCATATCCAGGCAAGTAGTGTTTATTATGGACGGTTAAGTTGACTTGAGCACCTTTTTTTTTTTGTTTCGAATTACCTGAAAATAGGAATAACAATAAATAAATAATTGAAAACTTTTCTCTTGATGTGAAGTGTCTGATTATGATTTTGAGTCATTTCTGTGGAAGATGAGAGTGTATGAATCTGTTGCCAAAAGTGTAAAGAGCCAGCCTAACAAAATGCTTAAACGGTGGAGCAGAAAGCAAAGCAGGTGCTTCATTGAAGTGAAGTGGGTAGTAATAAAATATTATATAATATATGTATATCTTAAAAAGAGAGATTCAAAGCAGGGAAAGAGGAGTCAGTTAACTCCATAATTTTACCGAAGAAAACCAGGGAAAAGGAGAAGAAAACAGAGAGGGAAACGTAGAAATAACAAAGCACAAAACAAGAGAAAAGAAGAATACCCTGAGAAACTCCTCTAAGGAAGAAATAGCTAGGATTTTTGAAGAAGAGAAAGCAGTAGCAGTGAAGAGGTGAATACAAACGGCAGCAAGGAAGAAAGAAAAATAGGATGAGCATGCCCTTCTTGTTGTAATGACTCCTATTTAGGTTAAAATGGTTAAAGTTCAATTTCCCTTTTAAATTAGATATCCATTCGCTAAATTGTTATTTAAATCGGATATTTTTCTCTAATTGAAAAACTTAATAGAAGCACCTGCTTCAAGTGCTTCACCTTAAGCCCTAAAGCTGGTGCTTCAACCCTGCTTCACTAAAGCACAGCACTGCATGTCTGATGGTGCTCCACTTTTCCGCTTAAGTGGTTGAAATAGACACTTTTGACAACACTGGTTTGAAATTGATCTAGCTGCTTCTCATAGCCACTAACATACAGTTGGTAGCATTAATGTGTCACAAAATTGTAGATTAGGGTTTCCTTGGTAGTTGGTAGAAGAATCTAGAATATTGAGGAAAAAGTGTGCCTTTCTGTGAAAAGATAAAACTACCATTTTATCCTAAATTCGGTCACACATGCTAGTCAGTTTGGTATATTAGATGATTAGGTGGGTTTGAGGGTCTATTCTGCATCAACAGACTGTTTCTTGGCCAGTTGGCTGTCATTTTATGTGGAAGAACTGTCAACTTATGCTTTCTTATCTGGGCAAAGCAGCAATTGTTTCTTAACCTCCTATTTATGGTTTCTTTGAAATTGAGGATCCTATAAACATTCTGTGTGTGTTAATTTTTCATGGGTAGTATTGGCGAACATTCATTTGTGTTCTTCTAACTTCATCTCTTATTGACTATGGACAGGGATATCCTGGCAAGTATTACTGTCCACGGATGAACAGCATGAATAAACCAGCATATGCAGCAATATGCACTCATTCACCAACAAAGCCAGTTCTCATTTTTGTTTCTTCTCGGCGCCAAACAAGGCTCACTGCTCTGGACCTTATTCAGGTGAGTGTGTATCAATGCTAGGATGGTGTAGTTTTTCATGTCTAGATCAGTGATTTGAATGTCTATTTCTTGTGTTATATGCAGTTTGCAGCTTCGGATGAAAATCCGAGGCAGTTTTTGAGTATGGCAGAAGAAGAATTGCAGATGATTCTTTATCAGGTCATGGATCAGAACCTGAGGCACACTTTACAATTTGGCATTGGGTTGCATCATGCTGGACTGAATGACAAGGATAGATCTGTGGTTGAGGAACTTTTTGCAAACAATAAAATTCAGGCACCTATCTTTTACCTCGGTTGTTTTTGTTTTTTTTTTTTTTTTCTTGGCGAAGATATAAGCCATGATCAATTCATCTTTTGTCCAAAATATAGGTGTTGGTTTGTACAAGCACACTTGCATGGGGTGTAAACCTTCCAGCTCATCTGGTTATTATCAAGGTGAGGGCATAAGGAAACATGGCATGTTATACCAGTGATTTCTTTTCTATATAGCTATTATGCACACTAATGAAAGAAATAGCCACTAAAAGTCTTGCCTCATCTTGCTCTTTGTAAACAGTCAGGTCCAAGAATACCTTAGTAGTCTCTTTTCTAGATAAGCCTTGATTAGCAATAGAATGGTTTTAGTGTTGTCAATAGTGGTCATAGCGGCCACCATAGCAGCGTAGCATAGCTCCCCATAGCTTTACTGCTATGATAACTGCCATAGTGTGGTGGTTTATCAATAGCACCTGCTTTGGCTGATTTGTTAATCTTTATGAGTTATGAGGTTCTCTTATGCGTTTTTTCTAGTGGGTTTTCATATAAAAAAAAAAAAATTGTTGTTCTATTTATTAAATATATTTGTATATTATTTAATGGCCATTATTGACATGCTCATTTTCACCTTCCTACTATTTTCTGCTATTGATAACCCTGGTTGGTTTTGATTCAATTATTGGCATTAATTTTAGTAGACCCTCAGTTGTAGTTTCTTCTCTTTCTGTCTTTTTTTTTTTTTTTTCGTTTTCCTTTTTCTCCTGGCTGTGGGGGAAGGGGGATTAAAATGAATAACTTATCTGCGGTTCCATCACAACAAACCATTGTTTCATGTCCAATGTGATGGTTGGATTAGTTTTTGGTCTACTTAGAATCAGAATTTGTTTCAAACAATTAGTCTAGAATAGGTTTAACATAAAAAGTGTAAGTTTACTGATTTGATCAAAACGCCCATCAAAGTAGTCTTAAGCCTGTGCTTTGAAGGGTCTGGTCGTAAAACCTTTTGATGTTTTGTTTCTGCCAGTTTAGGGGTATGTTGCCTTCCCTTTGTAAGTGTCTAGGAAATTATTCTAGCTCGTGACTTTTCTCCCTGGTAATGATGCAGTTTTAACTATTATTATACTCATTTGCAGGGAACAGAGTATTATGATGGAAAAGCAAAGAGATATGTAGATTTCCCTATTACAGATATCTTGCAAATGATGGGCCGTGCAGGACGCCCACAATATGATCAACATGGAAAGGCAGTCATTCTTGTTCATGAACCCAAAAAAAGCTTTTACAAAAAGGTTAGAATAAAATAACATTGATTTCCATGGTGATTTCTGATTTGAATGTGCTCAGGAAGTCAACCTAATCTTCCTTCTAACCAAACAATTAAAAAAATGCCTCTGCAGTTTTTATATGAACCATTCCCGGTTGAAAGTAGTCTGAGGGAGCAGTTGCATGATCATATTAATGCTGAGATTGTTTCTGGAACCATTTGCAACAAAGAAGATGCAGTACATTATCTCTCTTGGACCTACTTATTCCGTAGGCTGGTAAGCTTTTCTGGATCACTGAAGAACAGAAAATGCATGAAATCTAATACTGTAAGTCTAATGTTCTTGAGTTATATTTGGTTGGGAGGAACCTTGGTCAAACCATTAAAATAAGGCAAAATGAAGGAACTTGGATTTGCTCAAGATATCATTTTACTGACTTCCGTGGAAATTGTTGATCAGCATTCCTATTCCATAAGATTGATAATTTTCTTTTAGATTAGGAAAAATAGTAAGGAATCCTATTCCTTAAGAGGGAGATGGTACCTATTTCTTAATCACCCACTAATTTAGTAGAAAATTATAATCTTAAGGCTTAACTATTCCATGGTGAAAAAAAAAAGGCTTAGCTATTCCTAGTGTTAAGTTTGTTTCTCAGTTTTGCCTTATTTTTATAGTTTGGGTTCATGGAATAGCCATCACTCACAACCGAATATGACCTTGGAGTTTAACATGGATTAGGAAAAAAATTAGGAATAATTATTCCTTTAGAGGGAGGTGGTAATAACTATTCCTTAATCAGCCACTAATTTAGTAGAAAATTATTAATCTTAAGGTTTAGATATTCCATGGCCAAAAGAAGAAAAAAAATAAATAAATAAATAAAAAGAAAGAAAGAAAAAATGGCTTAGCTATTTGTAGTGTGTTAAGTTTGGTTTTTATAGTTTGGGTTCAAGGAATAGCCATTACTCACAACCAAATATGACCTTCGAGTTTGATGTGTATAACCTTTGTCTAGTTTCTTCCCTTTTCAAGGGAGAAGAGGAGGAGAAGCTGGTTAACATTTTAAAATTTTTATTTTAGTTGCATCTATTGTTTTCCTATTAAAATTTCTTACATGTGAATCTATGTCACACAGATGGTTAATCCAGCCTACTATGGTTTGGAGAGTACAGAAGATGAAATGCTAAGTTCTTACTTATCCAGGTACAGACATGTTTACCATATCTCCCACAACCTTCCAAATAAAGATGCATCCTATGACTGAAGACAATGTCATTATCTGTCACAGATTAGTGCAAAGCACCTTTGAGGATCTGGAAGACAGTGGTTGCATCAAGATGACTGAAGACAATGTTGAGCCTATTATGTTGGGTACAATAGCATCACAATACTACCTTAGCTACTTGACTGTTTCGATGTTTGGATCGAATATAGGCCCAGATACATCTCTTGAAGTAAGTTGACTTGAGAGATTGTTAATTCGATATTTTGTCATATGTCATCTCACAGAAGTCATTATTCTTGAACTTTTATTGGTCAGGTGTTTTTGCATATTCTGTCTGGAGCTTCTGAATATGATGAACTTCCTGTGCGGCATAATGAGGTAACTTTCTTTGCCCATACATGTTTCCATTATTTGCTGGTGATAGAGCTTTAAAAAGTCTTGGTTGGCAGTTATCATAGCTTGTGTAATAAGCTTACATGTCACTTTTGGGCAAAATCCAACTGGGAAATTGGTTTTTCCACTTTAATGCAAATCCTTGTTTTGATTCCATTTTGAACAAATAGAGATTTGATAAATGGATGATACTGACCAAAAGAAAGAAAAAATGAGATGGATGCAAGAGACTTTGACAACGTCCTGGAAAGTTAACAGCATGGCATATTAGTATAAATCAGGATACTTGACATGAAGTCAAAGCAAAGAAAGGACAATTCCCAGTATAATTCCTTAGAGAATGGCATGGAGTTGACAGTTCCTAGTACTTTAAAATTATGATCTTATGTTATCAAGTGACAACCTTTGCTAGAAATTGTAGCCATATGAAGTTGTTAACTATTGCCTGTGTTTGGAATTTTATTCTGAGATGTGTGAGAAGTGGGATTTTCCTTTTTAAATCAAAATAATGTTTGTTTCTTCATCTTAGGAAAACTATAATGAAGCATTGTCCAAGAGAGTTCGGTATATGGTGGATCAGAGTCGCCTTGATGATCCACATGTCAAAGCAAACCTCCTCTTCCAGGTCTGTTTATTTTTCTTGGACCATGTTCACTACCATAATTACAATGAACTTCATTGTTTTCTATTATTAATTAAATTCATCCCATTTATCGCTGTTTTATTCTCATTAAGATCTTTTTGTCACTTTTTTCTTTTCCCATTGTGTGACATTTGGGATTCAGGCACATTTTTCTCAGTTAGATTTGCCAATCAGTGACTATGTCACTGACCTAAAGTCTGTTTTGGACCAAAGCATACGCATTATTCAGGCCATGATAGATATATGTGCCAACAGTGGATGGCTCTCAAGCTCAATGATGTGCATGCATCTTTTGCAAATGGTCATGCAGGTATTTCTCGCACTTAATTGTGAATTTGATCATCTTTGTCCCTCTTACTTTAAAATGAATGGAGCATATAATTGATCTATATGCAAGCTAAAACCAACACAGGCCCGTATGTAACTTGCTGGTGTTGAGTTTGGATCCAAGTGGGCTGTGTCTTGGACTAAGTTGTTTGCTTTCCAACAGTGCAGTGTGTCATCCATTTCTTTGCTATTTTCTTAAATCCAATTTTCCGTTCTTTGTCTATAAATAAGTGGCTTTGAGGTTACTGGGTTAATTTTAGGTGGTGAAATTACGTGGTCATTTTTTATTAAATATATTTCACCAATAAGCTGAAAACAAATTTATCCTCACAGTTGAGGTATAGGGTTTAGAATCGTACAAGATGTATATTAGTTTTAAATGTTATGTTGCTGAAATTTCTACCCCTCCATACCCAGTGAGAGTTTCATCTCACTTGTACTGTTCTTCTTCCAGTAGTTGATGCACTATGGAAATTTATCCTCTAATTATTTTCTGCCATTGCAGGGTATGTGGTTTGATCAAGATTCTGCCTTGTGGATGTTGCCATGCATGAATGATGATCTTGCGGGCTTATTGAAGAAAAGAGGAATTTCCAAAGTGCAGCAACTATTGGATCTTTCAAAGGCAGCATTGCAAGATGTGATTGGAAACTTCCCTGCTTCAAAACTATATCAGGTTTAAGATTGCTGGCCATACAATGATAATCCTAGTAATCCCTTAAATTTGCTTACATAATATATCTGTTAATCTGCTGCTGATTTTACTATCTTGTCATGACATTACTTCCTAGCTTTATGCGCACACATCTTAATACTTGCAGCTTAATCTAACATGGATTACTGATATATTCAAGTTCGGATTCCAAGATCTATATTATAAATACGCACTGAATTTTCCGTTAACATCCAGGAATCATCACTGTTTCAAGCTTAATACATGCTAGGCATGTGATGTGGTTCCTTCTCTATTTACAACGGCTAGTCATTTCCTCTGATTTACATGTTTGGTTGTTTTCTTTGATGTTTAATCAGGATCTGCAACATTTTCCTTGTATTCAATTGAATTTAAAACTTCAGAAGAAAGAAGTTGATGGTCAGGGGTCTGTTATACTGCACATCAAATTGCAGAAGAAAAATTCCAAGCGGAACATATCAAGGGCATTTACCCCCAAATTCCCTAAGGTAAATAATTTATTGTGTTGGCTGGTGGTTGGCAACAGAAACTGAGCTTGATGGTCTGTTGCAGGTTAAAGCTGAAGCATGGTGGTTGGTTCTTGGTAATACCTACACAGCCGAACTCTATGCTCTGAAGAGAGTTTCCTTTTCTGATCGCTCCAGTACCCACATGGAGTTGCCATCAAATTTGACCACTTTTCAGGTAATGAGGATGTCATCAGATTCCTTTTTTTTTTTTTTTTTGGTGAAGGACAGATATCCATTTTACCACGTCATAAGAAAGAGCATCTGTGTGCATAATCAGGAATATTTATTCTGGAAGGATGATCTTTCAGTTAATAATGATGGTATTTGGTTTTCCAGGGGTTGAAACTGCTCTTAGTTTCAGATTGTTATCTTGGTTTTGAACAAGAGCACTCCATTGAAGAAATTGCTGAAAGTCAGCAATTGGTACCATAACAAAGAGTGAAGATAACATTTTTGGAAATTCCAGATTTCACTGTGCAGCGACAGCTTGGATAGACCTCATCTGTAGATAGCTTACCGATATACGTATAAACCATCCATTAAGCATTTGCTTTAACAGCTGTTGATTGGAAAAAAAAAAAAAAATTGCGTTGTCATCTTCAGCTATGGACATCATATGGATGTTAAATTATTTTAGTATAGACACTAGTGCTATATTATCTTGATGTGATGTGATGAGAAACCTTTGATACATGTCTTCAACAATCTTGTAGTCTTATTGGTCGGAAGGAAGTACAACATTTTATAGATTAATTAATATCAACAATAAAACTAAGGAATGGTAGTTTAGTTGGCAAAATAATTTGCTCCACACATTGAATTCCCTATTCTTGGAAAGATTTGCTTTTGATTGAATAGAAGATGAATTATATTTAAGATGCACACAAATTGATTTGAAACACTCAGATTGTGAAACCAAAAAAAATTAATATTGACCATAGAATATTAACAATAAGTCCTATTCCAAGAAATGGGTTAGAAAAAAATTGACAACCAATAGTAAAATTTTCTTTTCTTACAGATAAATGTCTTGTTTTATTATGATAAAGATAAAGATAAGACTTTAGGATATGTTTAGTGCTTTTAAGTAAATTTTTATTTCATAAATTTAAAAAATTACGGTAGAGAAATTGAAGTAAGATTATCTCTCTATTCTTATGATTATGTGAAGGGAGAATTAAAAGTAATATTATCTCATAGTGATTTAGTTTAAGGCTTCTTGACTGCTTTTCCTTGTTGAAAGCTAAAAAATTTGGCCAAAGAAAAGCCAAAAAAAAGTTAAGGGATGAAATTGAAATGACCTAAAACATTGAGGGCATAAAACGATATTTACCCCCAATGAGAATGGCTTAGCAAATCGGAAATCCCTCACCTAAAGAACCTTATATATAGATACTAAAAAAGTGTACGAGAATTTACTGAGATTTCCTTCCTCAGATCCCAAATCCGGACGCTTTTCTTTCTCTGGTCGGTACGCAAGAATTTCGTGTTGATTCCACGATCATGAATTTAAACTTCAATCTTAATTCGAGATATCACGATTTTATATGAATTTTTTCTTCTGGGTTTCAGGAGTGTCGCCATGGCTAAGAGCTCCTTCAAGCTGGAACATCCCCTCGGTTTAATTCTCTTCCTTTTTCTTTTCCTTTTATGTTAAGAATTAATGCTCTCATGGCTGTTTTCGTTTGTGGGATTTTGTTGATTCTGTAAAACCTTAACTTTCTTGATGTGGGTTTGTTGAGTTAGGGCTATAGCTTGGAAAATTTCCCACAGAGTTTCTTTTTTTCTTTCTTCTTTGGTCAATTACAGTTGTGATGAATGTTTTTTATTATGATCTGATGTAAATTAATTAGTTAATTGTACTCAATATTTTCAGTTTGAGTGAAGGGAAAAGTTTGAATTTTTATCATTTATTTTCATTTTTAAGGTTTGGAGTTATAGGATGGTTCACTCTTCCTGAAGCCGGGATTCGGTCTTATCCGATGCTCAAAACTTCTGGAGTAAACTGACATTTTGCTATTTATTGATTTTTTTTAAACCCATTCAGAGATAGATGTGAAATGGGTTTTGTTGTATGGAATCACTGTTTTGATGTAATTTGGCTGGTTTTTTATTTTTGTGTATTGGTTTCCTTATTGCCGTAAAATACAATGATTTTTCTCTGCTAAATACGGATATCCATATATATTTGAAAAATATAATTTTCATTGAAAGATTATAGATTATTGTGCCATTCTTGCAAAGAGTTTTCCATTTTTGTATAATACATTTTGTGTTCTTTCATGTACTAGAAAGGAGGCAGGCAGAAGCCGCTCGCATCAGAGAGAAGTATCCTGATAGAATACCAGTATGAAATGTTCTTCTGTACTTATGTACATATTTTTCCTTGATCTTTTTCCCTATTTCAAATGTCATGATATTAATTTTTGGTGTAGGTAATTGTTGAGAGGGCTGAGAAGAGTGATGTGCCTGACATTGATAAGAAAAAGTCAGTT